CAGGCGTATGGCACATATAGCTCCTGCGCGAGTCTCCGCAAGCAGCTGAAGCATCGCACAGGCGCTAAGACGCATGCGTGAACTGCGCGCGTGCACGAGGCCGCCGCCGGCCCCGTTCCAACCGAACCGGTTGGAACGGGATTAGCAACCCACCCCTGGGTAGAAGAGACAAAGAGCAGTTTCACATAGAAGCAGAACTCCTTTAATGGGACAGCCAGTTTCTAAACTATGGAGGTAGATGAAATTGAAAAGAAAACTGAAAAGAGACATTATTGGGCCTTCCTTTCTCAATCACTTTTGGCTTCCCTTTCAGTACGCTGTAACTGTGAAAAAAGATGAAATTCAGAAACTGGAAAATCTGGCAGTGGAAGAAGAAGCAAAGCTGGAAAAAGCCGAGGAAGACTTGGAAAAGGATGCTGCCATGTTTGATGAGTTCCTGAAAGAGAATGACAGAAACTCTGTCCAAGCTTTGAAAATGTAACACTGAACCATAGGATCTAAGCTGTAGCGTTCGTAGGCATCTCAAGTCCTGGGGAAGTTCTACAGTTTTCAGTAGGAGACACAAAGTCTGCCACTAAGTGTTGCAGGAGATGCCTACAAGCATTTTTGCAATTGTGTTGAATAAAGGGCGCTTGATTTTTGGAAGGAAATCTCCCAGGGCTACAGGGGGCATGATAGGGCATGTTATCACAGGGGGAGGATTTGCAATGTTGGTTTTGGAGTTTTCTTCCCCTATACTTTTTGGAGGATTAAAATCTTGAAGAAAATATAATCATAGGCCCACACAGGCAGACAAAGGTTAAAATATCTGATACATCATTTTCATAACTGTTCTGAAAGGAATGGTGAGAGATGCTTGGTGAACTAAAGGAGTAGCTTAAGTGATGCTCACCTTCTATCTTAAGACTGAGGAACAAGTTGTTTCAGAAATGACATCTTGAATTTCTAGTTTCAACAAAACATGGTAGCTTATATATCAAGGGAGGAAGAGGGAGAGAGGGAGGGAGGGAGTCAGGGAGAGAGAGAGAGGACTGTGCAACTTGAGTTTACTGTGGACAATAAAATCATATCTCTGAGCATTCTGATTCTAATGCTTTCATTGGAGATGAACCCGTTAAAGTTCCACATGCTGTGAGAATGATTCAGAAATGTGTGATGTATGTATATGTATGTATATGAGGGATGTATAATATCTCTGTAGCAAATCAAGATTGTGTCAAAAAGGGAAAACACAGTGATCTCATCAGACAAACCACCACCCTTGTATTATTGCATCCCAATGTCTGATACTGGTATGCATGTCAGGTTTTGCATCATGGCTCAGAGTTATTCACCTTCACTCTCCTGCAGAGCCTTGCGCTTCAGATCTCATCAAGTGCAGCAACTTTCAGCTACCCCTTTAAAGAACTCAAAGGATACTCAAACTTCTGCCTAGCCCTGGGGGAGAAAAAAAAACACTGCTGTTTTAAGAAACTCATTCAGAGTTAATGAAATTCTTCATGGAATTCATAATAGAGACTTGATTTATTTGTCAAATCTTTTCTACTGGGATTCAGATGCCAAATAATTCACAAGTTAATTTATTTCTATACTATTCTTTCTTCTTGTTTAACAAACAGAAGAAAACTCACCTACTGATATTTTTAAAGAGTTACAAAAGTGCTAGTTAATGTAACAGCAAGCGTTACGTTCCCTGAAGCTAGTTAGCCACATGTCTTCCACTTCCCACCCAGACTAGCAGAACCTTTTCTACTATTTTTTTTTTAAAAGCTCAAATTGAAGTTCTAGAACTGAATCTATGTTGACAGTTTAGGAGAGCTGCCTTCTCTGTTCTCTAACTAACACGTAGGCTGTCCACCCCACACCTTAAAGAGAGTGTTTACCAGATAGTCAATTAAAAGGTCCAAAAGAAATTCACAGGTAGATGAAAGTTGCAGTAAAGTACTGTGGAGCTCTCTATGAGTTTTAGTGCTATTCTTATATGATCCCTCCACAGCTGACCATGAAAAAGAGGGTCAGCCCACTCTTGTGTCATCTAATATGTCAAACCAACTTGGCTGAGAATCATTACATTCTACATATTCTTCAGCCAAATTCTCAACCAAAATATGAGTAGAGACGAGAAGGACTGGGGGAAGAAGAGAAATGGAAAAACACCAGGAAGAAATTTATATTTCTCTTCTGTGTTTCCCCAAAAATAAGACAGGGCCTTGTTTTCTTTTGCCCCCCGCAATAAGCACTTGGTCTTATTTTTGGGGAGGTCTTATTATTTTTGAGGTGCAGGAGGCAGCAAGCATGGTCACCTCATGGCTGCTGCTGTGTGGCAATATTTTTGGGGAGGGCTTATTTTAGTGCATGTGCTCAAAAGCCCAATTGGGCTTATTTTCCAGGGAGGTCTTATTTTGGGGAAACGGTAACCATTGCCTCTGACTTTTCATGGTGGCCTAAACTTTGAGATCTCTCTTAATTCTGATATCACTTATCTCCAGTCATGCTCTGCGGGTAATTTCTGTCTTTATTTCTTTTTTCTTAGTGCTGAAAAAGAAACGAAAGCAAAACTGGAGAAAATAATTGAGATCCGGGAATTGACAGCGCAAATGATGAACATCCAAAGGTAGCAGTTACAGAAGATATAATCCAGGGTATATTTTCCTTCCTCCCTGTTTCCCTTTCCTGGATGTCCCAATGCAGTTAAAAGTACATTAGTTCTATAGATCTTTATGACATGCTAAATGTTTATGCTTGATAAACATTAATTATATGCCTGAATTATGGGTAACAAGGTTTTATAGGTTTCCATTTGTTTCTCTCTCTCCAATGAATTTTAAATCAATAGATTGCTAAAAAAAAGATAATATAACAATCAGTGCTGTTATTTCCATTGACCCTGCCTAGTATGAAACATTTGAGAAGATGCAAATAAATACTTTGGAATGCATTAAAATTAAAAATGAAAATTGTTCTTCTAATTCAATATTAGAAAAAATAAATTAGACCCGTTTCAGGAAGTATTTTAAAATACAGCACTCCTCTGAAAAACTAATGGTGTTTTTGCTCCAACAGTTGCTGCCTGGAAATGATCAATTACATTGATCAAAATCAATTAAAATTTAATTTAAAGATTCAGACTTTCTTGAATTAAGTTTGACCTTGGATGATTGCATAGATACAAGAATGTTGTCTTCTTGGCAAGAATCTGAAACTAGGTTTCCATTATGTTTTCTAGAATGGATTCTTTTTTTTACTATCGCTCTGGGGTTTAATGATAGCCATCTAAGAAATACACTTTATATAGCCATTGAAGCACTTGCCAAGTCTCACCTTGATGACTTGGCAAGGTCAGCTAGATGCTGCCACCTGCTGGGGACAAATTTCATTTAGCCTTGTCTGAATCCCTTCTTTGAAGGCAGAAGAAAAGAGAATCAATGGAGTCATGTCAGAGGAATCAGCATTATGGTAGCAGTATGGAGCCATAAAGTAAATGGCATCAGGAAAGAGATGGGACTCTTGACAGACCAGATTCTTCTCATGACCAACCCACAAAGACGATCACACATCAGTGTGCCATATGATTTTTATGAAAATATCCTAACTTACAGGCAATATAAAAGTATTGTTTCTCTTCTGCATTCAGAGTAAATAAAGGGATATTTTAGGGTTATCCATCCATCCATCCATCCATCCATCCACCCATCCATCCATCCATCCATCCATCCATCCATCCATTTATATATTTTAGATGTTACCTTCTTGCAGTTTTATTTCCCAGAATGCTTACTGTCTCCTGGTGTCTTATCCAGCATTCTTTAGGTCTAAAAAATTTATGTCTAACAATTTACTTTCCCTGGGAATATGTACTTGGGGAGAAGAGCTTTATACTCAATGCCTATCCCAATTTTCCACAAGTGCCCTTTGGAAGTACCACAGAGTAATCTCCATTTGCTCTTGATGCAATGACTGTTTCTTTTCTTCAGTGAGATAGCCCGATTTGAGGACACTTTGCAGGAATATGTGGTGTTCAAGGATTTCCTCTACCTACTATCTCCCAAAGAATGGTGGGAAGATCATGAAAGACGGAGGATGAAAGAAAAGGCAAATAAACTCCCTTCTGAGAGTAAAGAGGAAAAACTAGGACTGCCAAAAGGTAAGCACTTCCATAATCCCAAAACTGTGTGTTATTCTCAGATCTGCATAGAAATAGCAATAAATCTTCAGAAGCTGTTGCTGAACCTCATCCATCTTCAGAAGAAACCAGCCAGAAGCAAAGCCACATGATATAATTACAGAAAATAAAAAAAAAATAGTATAGAGAACTTCCACATTAAACAGATAAATTCTATTATCTTTTCAAATTAACTGGTATTAAAGGTGCTTCCATTTAGCTATCATTGTTCAAATTCTAATCCATACATTCATGTTATCCAGTGGTGGGATTCAATTTTTTTTTTACTACCAGTTCTGTGGGCATGGTGTGACTTGATGGGCGTGGCTTGGTGAGTGTGGTAGGGGAAGAATACTGCAAAATCCCCATTTCCTCCCGATCAGCTGGGAAGAGAAGAGATGGGGCGGGCCCAGTCAGAGGTGATATTTACCGGTTCTCTGAACTACTCGAAATTCCCACTACCGGTTCTCCAGAACTGGTCAGAATCTGCAGAATACCACCTCTGATATTATCTCATTTTATGTTTCTTCTTTCTTTTACATTATTTATTATTTAAACATGCTGTGGAGTCAATTTTGAGGCAAAATCAATAGGTTTTTTAAAATATTTAATATTTTTATTATTACTGAAAACATTTTAAATTCTTAAGAGTTCTTAAAGTGTTTCACAACAGTACTCAAATGATACTCTGAGTATTTTCTTTCCATCGCCTTCCAAAAACATTTTGCTTCACATGCTCACATATCCATATGGATGAAACAAAATAACCCAATTTTGAGGTGACCTTTGTCCATCCTGTAAAATTATATTATGAATATGTGTTTTCTAAAATGATTGGCTTATCCATTTATTCTGTGAATTGACCCTCAGACCAAGAGAAGAAAATTACTGGTCATTATATCATACTATCATTTTTATATGCAGTTTTTCCAGGTGATGAATTTGCCAAAGAACATGGGAAAATCAATATACCTATTTTTTAATATCTCATTATGATCTAATAGCTAATGAGTATCTTTGCTTAATGTGTTTGATGTAGGCACTTGTGACTGCTAGTATCTGCCTTTGTTTAGTCACAAGTGTTCAGTCCAGAAGTGCCTTAGCTTGATATAATTGTTTAGGACAGTTTAAACCTTGACAGGATATACCAAGTTATGGTAAAATACATCTTATTGTGTCAGACATAGGTATAATATCGGGAATAGTAAAAGACTCATGAACCTCTCAAGAGGTGAGAAAGTGAGCAAAATGCTATCATTAAAGTATTTGAAATGCTTCAGATATGAATATTTCTCATCATGTTTATTTTATTAATTATTACTTACGTTGCTCTAATTCAGGGGTGCCAAACTCGTGCCATCACAGCATAATCACATGACATATCGCGACTTTTCCCCCTTTCACTAAATCGGGTGTGGGTGTGGCCAGCGCGTGACACTCCTGCTCTAATTTCCATTTTCCTTGTATTGGCTTATATTTAAAGGGTAAATAATGAGATGCTTATAACTTACAAGACTTTGGTCTTTTTCACTCTTCAGTGTCAGGTTAAGATAAGTTTATTCTGCAGTTGCTTACTGTCAGAAACAATGAGCAACACTGAGGAAAATGTATGACCGACATAGATTTTCAGTATGATTTTTCTTTCTCAGTACTAAATCGGTGTACAGATTCATCAGCTTTAACAGAAAAAAGGCGCTTCCCTTCCCTTGATTATATGCATTTATTTTTTGAAGAATGAAAAATAGGGGTGATATCAATATTAATACTAATGATTAGCATTTTATAGAAATTTTTAATTATTTATTTTATTTATTTCTTAAATTTATATGCCACCCATTTCCTGTCAAGCAACTCTTATTTCTTAAAATGATACAATAAACCTAGTTCTATACATTTTAATACATTAAAAAAGAATGGATTTCAAATGTTATAATTGTAAATCCTTCATTTAATTACCAATGTTTTTTTTCTTTAAGCACTATGGTTTTTTCCATTTTTTAAAATTGTATGTAGTTATTCGGTTCTTCATTGTTTTTAACAATTAACGTTAAAAAAATTATTATATCTGGAGCACATACTCATGACAAAATCCACACTTTTCATATCTCAGCTCACAACCCAAATATTCACGAAAAAACACATATTAAGGAATTTTGTCAGGCCCAAAGCCAAGAATGACATGTGTCAAGCTGAGTTGTTTACTGTTTCACAAAATCGTACCATACTGAGCACTGTACTATTTGAACCTATAATATATTCTTTGAACTATTAGGGAGGGGCTGTCTTGACCCTCTTTTGCTCACACATAGTATCTGAGCTGAGTTGCCTCTTACTCCTCTGGATTGTGCTCCCTCCCTTGTGGAAATCTACCTACTTACTACATTCCATCAGAGATGTATGGATGTATGGATGTATGTATGTATGTATGTATGTATGTATGTATGTATGTATGTATATATGTATATGTATATATGTGTGTGTGTGTGTATGTATATGTATGTATACATGTATATGTATATATGTATGTGTGTGTGTGTATGTATATAGATATTTATAT